TGGGGAATTCTGGGAGTTGAAGTCCACCCATCTTCAAGCGGCCAAGGTTGAGAAACACTGATCTAATGCAATCTTTCCCAATCTGGTATCCTCCCAATGTGGGGCACCTTAGTAGGCCAAGGGCATTTTTAAGGTGCAAATGTCCTTGCAAACTTCAGAAAAGAGTTGAAGTCTGCAGATAAACTACATTCTGATTTGCACACAGACTCAGGAACAGAATGCAAAGCGGGCACATTCATATACACGTATATCCTTACGAGCTGGAAGAGAAAATGCACGATTAAGGTAAGTCTTCCCCCCCACCAACAATTTCTTCTGACCTGGCCAGCTAGCAGGCAAGGGTTAAATATGAGGCCCTCTCTACATCCTGGAACGCCGTTTTACCTGCAATCCGGCAGACTTATTTGACACTTTATCTATTTCACTGGATAGTGAAATAGATAAGGACCCCCTAGTGTAGCAATGGGCGTGGGAGTCAAATCAAATGCATTCACTCCCTCTGACTTCACGCCAACTTGGAATGGAACGGGATTCCCAAGGATGGGATTAGCTAGCGGTAGAGAGAGCAGGAAAAATCAAGAGCGGTGCCACACCTGAATTTCTTCAGGAGCCAGAAGAGCCGCATCGCTAACATTCACAGGAGCCACCTCTTCCATGGTTATTGCTGGGAGATTGGAAACTATTTTAACTTCTGGCACAGGCTACCAGAGGAAAAAAGAGACGTTACACATACGGGTCAACAACATCAAACTACTGGAATCCTAAAGATAAACGCTGTGGAACTTGCTCTGGTGCTAACCTGCCTACCGGCTGCATTTCATCCACACTTATTTAACCATTATCCTAATGAATTTACTGGGACAGCTTCTGTCTAAAAGCATACAGAGTTTAAAAGTCTGCTAAGGAAAGGAGAGGGTATTCTCAAACTCTTTTCCACTAAAACATTGAGCTTTTATTCATAAAATACTTGCCACCAAATCTGCAGGGACATCGCACTTACTGGTTTCGGCATGAAGTGGAAGTTGGACAGGGCATCCAGCTTGACGAAGAGAGAATCCATCATTTTCTGTATTTCTACATGCTCCGGTTTTTCCTCCTCTTCAGTTTTTTTCTGCGTTAACACAAAGGAGGATTAAGGAGAGCAATCCCCAATTTGTTTTAAAAAAAACTGCAAGATACCATACTGTAAAATATAAAGTTTGGTTTCTTTTACAAAATTATCTGTAGCATTTTACTGCTGAATATCAAGAAATTAGCATGTGTGTATAAAACAGGGTCTGAGAAAGTTTTCAGTGTGTATCACCCCAGGTTACACTTGGGAGCTATTGAGGTATTTCACAGAAATGTAGGATATTTGGGTACTAATTAAAAAAAAAAAAACCAAACATAATTTCTAACCATCATATTGTAAGCTTGTCCAATCCTGATAAATACATAATTCAAGCACAAAGAGGATAAAAGCAAATTCAGTGATGTGCACTTAAGAGGAATCAGAAATTCACTTGCAATTCTTCTTTTCTGCTTACCCACATGACATGACCTTTTATTAATGGACATGCTGTAAAACATTACTTAGAAAACATTATTTTTTAAAATGGATTCCAGCTTGCTTTCAGCAATTGTTCTAGGAAGAATTGGAGGAAAGTTGCATTGCTTCATTCTCAAATCTTCTGCTCCTTCCAATAACAGTCAGAACCGGCTCATCACTTCTAAATGTGCTCAAAGGGCACCCAGTTATTGCCACCAATTACCGGGCCTTCGAGCAGACATAACCAAAACACTTCAGCAGAGGTGTGTCCTAGATTTCGGAGATAAACAGTAACGCACCTGGTTCAGCTTCAAATATTCTTGCTCATAAATTTCAGCAAGACTCAATTTGCTTTTCTCGTGATCCAGAGTCAAACGCTTCTTATACTCAAATGGATCTTCTTTGGGTTTTTCTTTGCGGACAACATCGTCCCAAGCCTAAAACCACAAAATGTTAGAATGATACACCTGTTTTGTGTGTGTGTGTTTTTAAAGAAACGTCAGAGCAATGCTTGTTGTAGGCAGCAATGAACATCTCACTTTGGGTTAGTTTCACATTTATGCAATTCTTTCTACAGTAAGCCACCAAATAGTTGACAAAATCCCAGGAGTAAGAACACAAATCTGTAAATGCAAAAAGAATTTTTTAAAGAAGTGGAGCCAGAATGATGAAAACTTGACCACCTTTTAACCCTGAGGCACTAGATCATTTCCTTAGAAAAATTCCACAGCAAGACAACCCGAAGGGTTCCTACAAGGCAGGAAAGCCATTTTCTCCAACACCTTCAGCGAAGGACACTGTGACGGAATGGAATTATGAAGGCCAGGCTCAGGGAGAAAAACATTTTCTTACATCTCCTGAGGAGCGTGAGAGGAACAAGAGGATAAGACTGGCACCTCCCTGAGGAATTCACACTGTTGTGGCTGGCTGGCTTTGGGGCTGGGGTTTTCGTTTGGGGAGAGTCTTGGTTGGGGGTTGTGGTAACACAAATAGCAGGG